CCTTTGGCCGGGGTATTTTTGATGCTGTGCCCTAGAGAGCCATTCCAGCCATTCCCCAGCCATTCCCTTGCCATTCCCTGACCATTCCCAGCCATTCCTATGGCCTCTGCCTCCTGCTGAGCCCTGCCAGTTCACACCGTGTTTCTCCAGGCTTGCTTATGAATACCCCAGGAGAGAAAGACAGACAATGCCGAGCACATTCCAGCTTCCTGCCTGCCACTTGCCTCCCAGTGCTAACTCACAGGAGGGTTCCACTGCTCCGAGCCCAATCCTGACCAAGCAGCACACAGGGACTGTCGAGGCAGGATGGAGAAGGCTAAAGGAAGCTGTCCCAGAGCACACACAGCATGAAGCTGAAGGAAAACCAGAGCGACTGCTTTGCCTTGGTTTGGTCTAGAAGGATGGGAACCAGCTCTTGGCTCTTGCATCCCTATCCCCTGCACAGCTGCATAAAGCCTGGGGAAAGCAGCATGCAGGAGGTGCTCAGGGGATTGGGATCCCAGGGCCTGACAGAGGTTTGCTGGTCTGGACTGGGGTAGAGCGAGTGCTGTCTGCAGTAGCTCCTATGGGGCTGTGTTTGGATTTATGCTGGAAACAGGGTTGATAGCAGGGATATTTTCATTACTGCTGAACAGTACTCACACAGCATCAAGGGCTGTTCTGCTCCTCGCCTCAGGCACCAGAGAGTAGGCTGGGGGTGCATGAGGAGCTGGGAGGGGACAGAGCCAGGACAGTGACCCCAACTGACCAAAGGGACATTCCAGACCATAGGACACTGAGCTCAGCAATAAAACAGGAAAGACTGGTGAAGGAAGCTGCTGGGCATGGGTCAGCTCTTGTGAGCAATGGTTTTCATTTGCATCATTTGGTTTTCTTGGGCTTTTTTCCCTCTCTTTGTAAGTTTCCTTTCCATTACATATTACTATCATCATCATCATACTTCATTTCAATTATTGAACTGTTCTTATCTCAGCCTACAGTTTTCTCACTTTACCCTTCTGATTCTCTCCCCCATTCTGCTGGAATGAGTGAGCAGCTGCGTGGGGCTCAGTTCCTGGTTGGGGTTAAGCCACCACAGCAGAGATGCTGATTTCAATGGGGAGGACAAGCTATGTCCACACTGCCAAGAGGGGTGAGCCCTGAGCAGGACCTAGAGAAGAGACAGGAACAGCAGCCACTGAAGTGGGATGCAGGAGCTGTGGGACCTTCAGCCTTGGAGACAATCAAATAACCATGACGTAGCTGGCTCTGCTCTGAGCAACTGGGTGTGCTAAAACCCTCCAGGCATCCCTCCCGACCTCAATTATTGTGTAATTCTGTGTATCGATGTATTTGGGCAGTCACAGCATCTAAGGGCATTGAAATCCCTGCTTAGGCTTCTTGTTTTCCCTGCCTCTAAGGGGAGGTCCATCCAGATGGCATGTGACTACTCGTGGTTGTAATCTTTCTCCCTGGTCAACTAATCCCTCTGATTGAATAACAATAAAAAATAAATCCTAAATTGTCAATTGCTCCCAATTCTTTTCCTTCCCAGCTGTGCCACGGAGAATGTGGGCTCTTAATTTTATAGTTAATTTTGAATCACTTTAATCTCTTCCCTTAACATAGTTCATCAGAGAAGTCAATTCCCCCTGCAATTGCCTCTTGCTGATAAGAACAAGCTCAGGCTTCTCTCCCTGTCTGCTTTATTCCTGTTCCAGAGCAGATTAGGTTTGCTGAGCCCTGCCCTGTGCTCCTCATCCTCAGAGGGCTGGGGAAGGCTCATTGCCCCCTGGTGACCCCAGCACACCTCGCCACCGGAGCAGCCTCGTGTTCTCTTATGGTTCTAACCGCTTCAAAGTGATGTCCATGAGCAGTGGGACCTGTCCCAGAACAGACTCTCACCCTCCACCACCACAGACCTCAACCTCCCCTCTGATACTGGTCACGTGCTGGTGAAGCTGCAACTTGTGAACGTTGCTTCCAGGGAGGCTGATTCCACAAAGAAAACACTTGTGTTCATTATACCGCCTAGTACCTTCTGTGTTCTCAAATATACATCCTCAGCTGGCTTTTCACTTATTAAGCCAGAAAAGGGTAAATTATACACCCTACCCAAACCTGAACTCAGCCGTGTGGCTGCTGCTCCTTGCTCTATGCCTGGGGCACTCATTCAACCCTGCAGCTATTTCAAAGGCTTTACCTCAAATCTGAAGTCACTCATGTGTAATTTTCTCAAGTACTTTTAAAGTTGTTCCTCCAACATTGTCATTATGTTAATCTGCTCCCACGCCTGAGCACTCCAGTGAAGTCAGAGATGATGGAATAAGCACTCTCCTGCAAATCACGTTAATCTCCTGCTGCAGCGGTCCTACAGCACCTCAGCTCTTCATGCCTGCTCTCCAGGAACCTACTGGCCCAAGCATTTAATACTTAAAAAAACAGGGGAAAACCCCATTTTGTTTCTCTTATTTTTTAAGGTGATCCCAAACCCCGCATGTGAATCCTCACATACCCCTGGTGGTCACCCCATGGCCCCAGGCTGCCTGTTATCGAGTCAGAGCACCACTTCCATCCCATAATGCTGCAAAACACACCCTCGCACTCCTGAGGCTCTGCTCCCTGTGCTCTCTGCTTCCCGGCCACCAGCACCACCTCCATCCATCCCTGCTTCAGCAACAGCCACACTCTGAACTCCAGCAATCAGAGCACGAAGCTTCCACTGAATGGAGCGAGACCAGAGAAGGGAATGGAGCTGGAGCAGGGCCTGGAGCACAGGGGAGATGGGGAAGGGCTGAGGGACCTGGGGGGTTCAGATGGAGAAGAGAAGGCTCAGGGGGGACCTGATGGCTGCCTCCAAGTGCCTGAGAGGAGGATGGAGCCAGGAGGGGCTGGGCTCTGCTCCCAAGGAACAAGGGATGGGACAAGAGGAACCGGCCTCAAGCTGCACCAGGGCAGGGTTAGATGGAGCTGAGGAACAATTCCTGCCCCAGAGGGTGCTCAGGCATTGGAACAGGCTGCCCAGGGCAGGGCTGCAGGCACCAGCCCTGCAAGGGTTCACACCCCATGGAGACGAGGCCTCAGTGCCACAGGTTAGCGGTGGCCTTGGCAGTCCTGGGTTTATGGTTGGACTGGATGAGCTTAAAAGTCTTTTCCAACCTGCTTGATTCCATGATTTTATGATTATGTGACCACTGGGTGCCTCCATGGTCAGATGTCTTTTGCTGGTTGGGTGGCTGATGGCTCCAGCAGCACCAGTCCCTGAGGCAGGGTGGTGGTCTTAAGGTGGGCAACAAAGGCAGCCACTTGTTCTGCTTCACACCGATCTTCCTTAACTGAAGGCTGAGGCTGTGCTCAGAGCAACCTGTGGGTGAATGATGAGCACACACACGCACTTTAAGAAGCTCTTCTTGTTCCCTGTCACCTCACTAGAAGTATTGTGACACTGCAGGAGCAGGAGACACAGCACCCCACTGCTGAGCACCGCCACTGTCTCACTGTCTCCACCAAAGCCAACCCCAGCTCCATTTCTGGAGAGAAGGAAGGCACCTGAGTGGCACATCACTGAGCGAATGAATGGAACAATGATCCATCCACAGCTACTGCAGACCCAGACATGGCCTCTGGCTCAGGAGGCTCTGATCACAGTATTGCTGCAGGCAGGAATGTTCTGGATTGCTTGTTCTGTTCTCATAACCACCAAGCACCTGCTGGTTGCCACCATGCAAACACATGAAGGTGGCCTGATGCATGTGGTGTGCTCTTCGTGCTTTTCATGTGCATGACTACACACCATACCATGGGGATGCAGCTGAAATCCGCCAGTTTCTTCCATTTCAACCCACCAAAACTTGCCAAAATCCCAAGTTTTAACAGCCCATGCCAGCACCGTTCCTGTGACCCCAGCAGATCCCAGTCATGCTTTAGCAGAGCAGTCCAGTTTGTCAGCATGCTGCAAGCATCAACCGCAAATGCCAAGACCTACGGACTATGATCTGCAAGAAGACACAGATGACTGTGTCCACAAGAGAGTTTACAAGCTCCTGACATGCAGTCCAGGAGGACTTCAGGGTGGAAAGATTGGGTCTTCCTCTCGCCTAAGGGTGCAGCTGAAGGTATATATGGAAACACAACCTCCTCCCCTTTCTCTGATGGTGGATCCTGGGGACATGGGGCCACTCAGCAAGGTTCAGAAGCTCAGGAAGCCAGGAAAGCTCCAACACCACAGGATAACTTAGGTTTTGGATGATGAATTCTCACAATCTGCTCCTGACACATCACAATCAGTAGTACCCATCCAACTGCTTCAATGACCAATAGTTCTTAAGAGCACCAAGCTGGACTGCAAACAGAGACCATGTTCCGAAGAGTCACCCCACATTTATCCCTCAAGCACAGAACCCCATTGCCCAAAGCATATTCCTGAATCCAACCAGCAGACACATCCCTACATCCCAACCTCCTAGGAATGTGTCCACATGTGTTGCTGGACCAAGACCAAGCACAGACCAGCAACATCACCCCTGTTTCATGACTGACTCCCCATTGAGTTCAATCATCTCCCCAGTGGTTGGTCTCCATGCTGAGGTGAGAACACTCAATTGCCACGTACCAGAACAGCCCTGGTGAACAGCCCTGCAGTCTGTACCACATCCAGTGCTGCCGTCAGGCTGGGCTGAGAGCTGCCCTCATGCCATCTCTGCACAACAGCATCCTCCTCTGCCCTTCCAAGCAAGCTGTAACTCTGCATCTGCGTCCAACACATGTTCTTCAGATCCTGGGGCACACCAGGAATTCCCCACTGAGACCTGAGCCACACTGCCCTGCAGCTTCAGCCTTCATTCACTGGGGCCTCAGCTAGGCCTTATAATTCCGACTGTAACTGAACTGACCAAAACAACCAGAAGAGTTTCCTTCCCATGACACCAAATGGACGCGTTTTGCTCCATCAGGAAAAGGCGATACTTCTCCCATGGAAATGAATCTCCTCCAAATCACGAGGCAAAGGTGCTGATGCTTACCTGTGAGAGGTGAAATTGTCGTAAGAGCCCACAGTATAATGTCGGAAGAGGCGCTTTGTTCTGTCTTCTCTGGTTTCTGCAAGAAAGAAGACATCACAGAGCTGAGTCAAAGGAACACTTCTCATGGCCTCTGCTTCCCTACGTATATACAGTGAGTGCCTCCTTCGTGCAAGCGTTTATCAATAAACCATCATCTGTGTGCACACGTGTGTCAGCGTGATCAGCCCCACATGTGCTGGGGTACAGTCCCCCCCACACACACACAAACAGCTTCTGTGATACAAGATCTCTTCACCAAAACTGCTAAACCACAGCGTGACATTTCAACCAAGATCCCAAAGCAGAGCCGAAGAGGAGAATGCAGGCAAACACACATCCCATCTTCCAAGGCAGTGGCAAGACTTCTTCCCATGCTCTGTCTGGAGACACCCACCTCGTGAGCAAGTGCCTGCATGGTTCTGAGTTACCGGCTGGCCTTAAAGCACGACAATGCCTCAGCGCAGAGGGATGCGGCTCCCACAGAGGAGATGGCACCAGCCCTGACTGCCCTTCTGCACCCCTGGGGGTCACCATGCTCTCCACATGCACAGAGTTCGGAGGAAGAACCCAGAGAGGTTTCTTCTCTTCTCATCTGTTATCACTGGCCCCATCCCTGACAGCAGACATGTGAGGCCATGCTTGCTGGACCACATCTCCCCTTTAGGGGGTAACAGCTCAGGAGTCCACCCGCCTGCCTCTCAGGTGTGCAAAGCCCCAGACTCTGCTAGCCTGACCCGGAACAAGAAGAGAGATGCCAGAGCCCCCCGGTTGCTGGGTGCTGAGGGGACACAGCCTGTGAGGAGAGGAGGGATGCCACTGGTGACACCTGGAACGGGTCTGCCCTAATGGCTCAAGAGGAGACATGGCAAAGGGATGCAACAGACGCAAGGCAGACATTCCCAGCTACCATTCCCTTAACACAGAAGGAATTTGCATCACACTACCAAACCCCCATCTACTGCATGCCCCGGGATTTCTACTGCACATTCACCCTGTAGAAAGCAACCGGCTCCTCCAGTAACGTGACTTGAGCACACCACACTGAACCAGCTCACCATGGCTACAACAGGGTGACGGGACTCTGAGCAACCAGGGAACTCTACTCCCTTACTTTGCAAGCAGTCCCTTTTGTAGGCCTGGGTGCTGCTCACTGCACAACTGGCTGCTGCTCTGCTTTACATTTAATTTAACTTAGTGCTCAAGGCCAGCCTGGACTGGACTTGGAGCAAGCTGCTCCAGTGGAAGTGTCCCTGCCCGTGGCAGGGGATTGGGGCTGGAGGAGCTTTAAGGTCCTTCAACCCAAACCAGGCTGGGATACTGTGAATTCAGCAATTTAAGTATGCTAACTAGGGCAGATGGACAGAAGGAACGAATAAAGGGTATAAATAAGAGGAACTAAAGAGCAAAGTATAGATGGGACTCACCTTTTTTCTTCAGCAGGGACACAAAGCGTTTGAACCCAAAGCAGTTACAACACAAAATAACATTTGTTTGACCTGCGCTGGAACTCAGAATGGCAACAGCCTGGGAAAGGGGCTGCAGGAGCAGAGGGGCAGGTTTTTACTGTTATTACAGCACCATTGATCCAATGAACTTTGTTCTAAGCTCAGGACAGGGTGCATTGTCAATGCATCCATCCTGGTCTCATGATTCTATCAATCCATCTCTGCTGGCAGAGGGAAATGCTTCCACAGCAGCCACAACATCGGGATCCCGCCTGGGGCCTGACAAGAGCCCTACAGGCAGCAGCAGCAGCAGCAGCAGCACGTCACTGCACTGACACACTGTCCTGCCCCTGTGACACGCACTCCCTGTCCCCTGCTGCCAGAGACCGGGCTGTGGCCTCCTGATCCCAAAGGTGCCTCTGCATGGGGAGCAAGGTCCATATTTCAGCATAGATGTTTTGCTCTTGGGGCCCTCACCCTTAGAATGCATCTCCAGTTCACTTGCAAAACATACTGACTGTGGGCAGAGTTGGCTGGAGAGGGGCTTGGGACAAGGGCCTGTAGGGACAGGCCAAGGGGAATGGCTTGAACCTGCCCGAGGGGAGACTGAGCTGAGCTCTTAGGCAGAAGCTCTTCCCTGTGAGGGTGCTGAGGCGCTGGCACAGGGTGCCCAGAGAAGCTGTGGCTGCCCCATCCCTGGCAGTGCTCAAGGCCAGGTTGGACACAGGGGCTTGGAGCAAGCTGCTCCAGTGGAAGGGGTCCCTGCCTGTGGCAGAGGTTGGAGCTGGAGGAGCTTTAAAGTCCCTCCTAACCCAAACCAGGCTGGGATTCTGTGATTTTATGAAGGTTGAAAGAACAATTAACTTCACCCAAGTTCACAAATCAAACCACCAAAGACAAGTGTTTGCACTACTGAAAACAGCCTTGCTTTCCCCCCAGTTCTTGTTTCCCCGTTCGCTCCTCTTATGCGTGTGCTTGTGGGATTTTTTAGCCTCTTCCCTTCTTTCTCAGAAGAGCTGAAGAACAGCCCTGGGGTGTTGGCACTTCTTCCTTACAGAGTAACACCCTGCACTTATGGTCCTGGCCCCCTTCCTAAGGCCTTGGTCTCCAGTATGGGGCACACAAGGCAACCCACGGGTGTGCAGGAAGGAACGCCTTTGGTACCCTTAGTAAAATCTGAGGATCCTTGGAAGTGGTGTTTAATTCCAGCTGTATCTCACCATTTTTTAGTTTCTATTTTTGCATATGCTTTGCAGTGCACACTGTACATTAGCAGAGCAGCACAGCTACATCATTCATAAGTAAATATATACGTATGGGGGAGGGTGTGTGCTCAAAAATACTGTTTTACCAAGAGGTAGGTGATGCAAACAGTGAGACCCCAACACGCAGGACATGCAGCATCGCAGAGGTTAACGCGGGTGCTCTGGTGATGCCCTGGAAGCAGCGAGGTGCAGCAAGGACAAAGTGTGGTGCAGCCCATCCCACCCTGTGCTGCGGCTCGGGAGCGTGGAGGGGATGTCCCCGTGTGGGGACCAGCCCCTGGTGACACAGGGTGTGATTCCAGCCTCGCCGCGGGGCATCACCGGATGCATTTACCTAATCCAGAGGGAGACTTCCTCCAGCCTGGTGCTAAAAGGGGGGCTGATGGCTTCCAATGAATCTTCCGATTAGGTGGTCGTCCACCAAGCCCCCGCCCTGTGGTCCTGGGAAGAACTGTCTCAAAGAACCAAGGTATTAATCTTACTGGCAAAACAACACCTTACGCCAAGAAACAGGGATGTCAGGGAGTGATAACCACAGCAATCTGCTGCAAAGAGCTAAAGGATAGAACCTGTTCACCTTGCTCATCCCAGGCAGCTTCTCACCTTGCTTACCCTCCTTGTGGAGGCAGAGGCTCCTCAGCTCCGAGCTGGGGGACACTGGACCCTGCCCACAGCAGCAGGATCATAAGGAGAAGGAGGCACCACGTGCTCTAACAGGGGCTGATGTGCAGTTGGGGAAGCACATGCATCACACACCAGCTCCTTCCCCACTGCTGCAAGAGTGCCCAGACAACGGCAGCACAGAGCAACCTGCTCCAGCTCTGCCAGCGCGCCATGAGCATGGCAGGGTCCCCCCAGTGCTAACCACGACATCAGGGGCCTAAAGAACACCTAAAACATCAGGAGGAGCCTTGCTTGTTGTGCCTGTGAGCAAGCCGGTACTTGCAACCTTCACAACAGGCCCCGTGTGCCTGTGCTTCGGTTCCTTCTCCTCCCTTCTCTCTGCCCTACTCTGCCTCCTACTCCCTGCCTCCCTCCACGCATGCGCAGACACTTGCACCTCATCTGCACACACCTCTATTGATCTCAGCAGAATGGTAATTTGGTGACGGGAGCTGGATTTATGGGCTGCCCACAGCCCAAAGGCTCGTTTTCTTCCCAGCTCCTAAATATAGCTGCTGCTGAGTGCATGTTTAATGGAGCCGTCACACAGGCACCAGGGAATGAGGCTGATGGATGGAGAGGAGCAAATCACTTGGAGGAGATAGGTGTGGAGAGGGAGGCTCTATATTAAGAGAAGAGGAAGCAAAAGGACACCAGGGCAGGCCGGTGGGACAGGCACAAGCAGGAAAACAGGAACAGGGAATACAGAACGCCAGAAAACGCAGCATGGACACCAGGAGGAGGGGGTGGTCGGTGCAGGCTGGTGTCAAGCTGCTCTGTACCCTGCCTGCAAAGTGCTTTGCAAGAGGCAATTCTTTCTAGTAAGGCTGCCTAATATATTAGATGAAAACACAGGGGTATCACATCCCAGGGCTGGCAAAGGAACTCTGGATGCGCCAGAGAGAAGGTTCTGGGAGAGAAGCAGCTCCCACACAATGAGCAGGGCGTGCTGCTGGGCCCCAGCACTGTGACAGGAAGCTCTGGTGCCATTCCCAGGCACCCTCCAGCACTGGATTGACTCATCCCATCCCATCCCATCTCATCCCATCCCATCCCATCCCATCCCATCCCATCCCATCCCATCCCATCCCATCCCATCCCATCCTCTCTTCTCTCAGGCACCAGTACTGGGGTGCAAATGCAAACAAATAACTCTTCAGCGCTCACAGCCCAGAAAGCAACCGTATCCTGGGCTGCATCAAAAGGAGCGTGACCAGCAGGTTGAAGGAGGTGATCCTGCCCCTCTGCTCTGCTCTCGTGAGACCTCACCTGGAGCATTGTGTGCAGTTCTGGTGTCCTCAACATAAAAAGGACATGGAAGAGAAGGAACCAGCCCAGAGAAGGGCCACGAGGATGATCAGGGGACTGGAGCACCTCCCGTATGAAGACAGGCTGAGAAAGTTGGAGCTTGATGATCTTGAGGTCCTTTCCAACCCTAACCGTTCAATGATACTTCTATGATACTTCTCTGTGAAAATACATTTTTTTGCTTCTACAGAATGTTGGAATTACATTTCTAAATGCCAGTTAGAATTTAACTAAATTCAGTCTTATTAAATACAAGATTTATGCACCCCTAATTATTGGCAGCAATTTCTTTGTCATCTAGTTTTGACCAACTGCTCCTGCAACATAACCAGCAGCAGGATACCAGCAGGACTGCT